CGGGCCTAAGGCGGCCAAGACTGCAACTCCGCTACTGTCCTCAGTTATGACAGCCTATGTTTTGTATGTATACTAATTTAGTTAGTTAAATTGGTAGGTAATCAAATCAAACTACTTCCCACATACCACTACTTCGCCACAATCACAGCGATTAAATAAATAATGTCGCCGCTACTGGTTCTGACCTAAAACTATCAAACACATGACATGACTTGACAGTTGCTGAATATTTTATTGCCGGTTCGACCACAGCGTGAACCTACTACTCGAAGACTGTATACGGCATGTAATGCATACACTGGACTACATTTGCACTGAATACTAGACAGTTATTTATAACAGCGCACTATGTGGCTAGATCGTCAGGGGTTTGGGGTAATGCGAGGTTATTCCATACTCTAACGGAATTTGTGGCTTAGGTAATGAGCGTTAAACAAATGAATGTATGTGGTGTCGTACTTTGGTTGCACGTTTAATTCAGACTTTTAGATTTGTTGCAACAGTTTCTGATAAAATGATTTATATGGGAAAGTCTTTTCATAAGGGATCTCAATGATAGATTCAAAATTTTAAGGTATTCATGAATGAAACAATCAAACATAGTTATTAAATGCAAATATACTCAGAACACATATAAAATAAATCACCCAGTAAAATATTTTTAAAAAATATCTCATTGTAATTTTATGTATAGTGCTTTTCATAAAGCCCCCTTACTTATCTTTTTAACGAGTTAAGTTAGCAAGTTGCAAATTGGGGTAATGAAATTGATAAATGAATACTTGCGAGGCAGATGTATATTATCATAGGTACTACAGCTACAGGTATGACGTTTTGTTGATTATTTGTTGACTTCTGTCAATGCACAAACATACTCAAAGAAAGATTGAAGTTTTATGTTCTAGGGTTATAAAGTACTCATAAGGAGCTTTACAATGAAGAATCAAACGACCCCTTATTTTATTTAAAAAAATGTTCCAAAACGGCGCCCAGCCGTGATTTTGCTAACTTAAAAATAAGAACGAGTAACCTTTCTGAAAAGCACCGAATACCTGGGCATTATCAAAAAAAAGTCTACTGTAGCGTCTGGATTCTGATTTATGTCTGATTGAAGTACCTCATACCAAGCTAGTTGTACTGGGTTCCGAAAAGATTTTGGAAGTATTGACTTAAACATGTCACTCTTCTTTCCATCATGTGCCACACACGTTCAATAGGCGAAATCTCTGGAGATCTAGGAGGCCAAGGATATTGACTTAGCCCGTTATTGAGCAATGTGGGGACGGACATTATCCTTTTGGAAAATAGGGTTCTCAAGCGTTTGGAGATATGGCAAAAGATAAGAATAATGCATTCAACTATAGATTGCACGTGACGTTCAAGAGAAAACTTTTTTCATTGCGGATTTAGCCTTCTGTCTCGTGTCTGACATGCCTTGGGACGTCGAATGGTGCAGCATTGTTTGTAATGAGGAATCTCGTTTCTGTTTAGGAATGCACATAGGACGTATACCAACACGAACGCCACCTTAAACAAATTGTTGTGGTTATGGTTTTTGACAACGAAATCAAATTTTTTCTAAAAAAATTATTTACAGATGATTTTATTCGCCCTATATATTCGAAGAGGGGCAGTTTTTCCAAAATCGTCAAAAGATGATAGGTATGGATTAGTTCAAAGAATCTCAATCATCCAAAGATATTTCGCTGGTAATGGCAGATCGTTAGAATTGGTTTATTTTCGTTATGAATTAAATCTATAGAACCTCATGCAATAAAGTCGAAAAGTCAAGAAAGTGTCCTTGTATTTCTAGTACCTCAAGAACCAGTCACACAAATCCATATAAACGATATATCAGAGAAAAGCTTGTAACAACGTAAATCAAGGAATATGAAAATATGTGTATACAGGGTGTCCCGAAAAACGTGTGTAATATTCTACGGACGCTACGGTCTTCAACCTATACAGGGTGTCCCGAAAAAAGTGTGCAATATTCTACCAGCGGTTTCTAGAGCTTAAAATAGGAAGAAAAGTTTCTATAAACATAGGTCGAAAAACGTCCCCTAAGGGCGCTACGGTCTTTTAAAGGGGCTCCCCTGAAGATGGTTTTTCCTTAATATTTCCTATCATGTAACAATTTTTTTAGTTTGATTTTATTCAAAAATGGCACAATTTATCGATATTCAACAAGAGTACCTTTTCTATGTAGAAAACCCTAAATTTTCAAGTTCTAAGATTGAATTTCAAAAATAGAATAGCACAAAAATTTTGGGGCTAAAAAAACCTGAGTCCGTCCCTGTTACATACGCTTCTAAACAAAACTGTCTAAAATTGTTAATATTTTTCAATGCAGCATAAAAAACTAGGATAGAATACCAAATTTTATGTCTTTATCTCACCACGTTTCGGAAATATTAAGGAAAAACCATCTTCAGGGGAGCTCCTTTAAAGGACCGTAGCGCCCTTAGGGGACGTTTGTCGACCTATGTTTATATAAACTTTTCTTCCTATTTTAAGCTCTAGAAACCGCTGGTAGAATATTGCACACTTTTTTCGGGACACCCTGTATAGGTTGAAAATTCTGAGAAATAGCTGACTTTGCGTTCTTGACCACCCTGTATGAACTATCCAAAATTTCAAAAATGGAATTATACAGGGAGACGCAAATATCAGCTATAACAGTTACGGAGGTGCGAGTTGTCAAAGTTGAGTATCTTTTTCCGATAGATTGTCCAATCATCTAAAAAATTTGAAAATCAAGTGTTATATCAAATTGCTTTGTATGAAAGACCCTATCCAAATCAGTAATAAAATATAGGACTTTTCATTCAAAAAATGAATGTATTGGTCTCCACGTTGTTATAAATCACCCTGTAGGGATAGAAATATTTTCCAAATTTGGAAGATGCTGTCGGCTACAATTTTTGTATTCACATTTCTTGCATCGCATGCGTAATGGCGATGTTACCGACCGAGCCCACAATTAAAACTCACCCTGTATACAAAGCCGTAGAATCGGTAAGTTTACAATCCGAGGTGATAAATTATAATGGTTGATCCCAGACCATTTACCATCTCCGTGCTCCTGGCTACGTCACTGATCCCATCACCACCAACTGAGCTTTGGTCTCCACACGACAGCCGTGACAACGTGAATGAATATTAATTGGGACTACAGCTGGTAAACAACAGGAGTACAGGGTCGTGACAAAAAAGTTTAACTACAATTTGCATTGTTCTATCAAACTCCCTCCGAGCTCTCGTGAATTACAATCGTTGATGTTCGCAGCAGTTACGACTTAAGCGGGAGGCAAAGGGATTGTTTCGTTGTATTGTTTTTATTTTGTGGGATTTTATTTTCGCAGTTTAGGATCATATCTTGTTAGACAAATCTAGGGATAATAATGGGTACCAAAAAGGTATCAAGACAAAGCGAAAACAACAGAAAAAAGTGTTCGTGCTCACTTATTTTTTTCCATGCCGAAATTCTCCAAAATAAGGGCTAAACTGTTGCCCACATGAAAAGCTGTTAATTTTATTTAATTGGTCAATCATTGCAAATCAACCTCGCCCTCGTCATCTTTTCTACATTCTTTCGCACGCTCCGAGTCTTTAAGTTTTTAGCAAGTTTTCCTTGAAGCTAATTGTACTGAAATTAAAAAACATAATCAATACAATGCAAAACCACCCATACTGAGGGTGCAAAAGTAAATAAAAGTATTATCTCTGAAGTCATCAAGTAAGTCGCAGGTATCTGAAAAGGGGTACAAAACATCGCATATCCAGTAAAGATTCCATACGCTAAGTTTGAGTCTATTTTCTATTAGAAATTAGTTCATTTGTCAAGACGGAAACATAATAAGCATATCACGAAAAACCGTGTCACTCATTTCCGTCGATCTGCCTGTCTGTTCGTCGGTCTGTCCGCTAACCCTTGGCCTGTCTATGTAGAACTTGGACAGCACTGTTCGGATTTTGATAAGGTTTTTACAATAGGTGTCAAGTACGAAAAATCTTTGTATATAGTTTTTGAAAATAAACCTGGTGGCGGCAGAGCTTCAGGCCAAAAATGAAAAAAATTACTCAATCTCCATCTTTTGGCGTTCCCTCATCATTTTTATTATGTGGGAGTAAAAATTGGGGGATAGGAGCTCTAGGGAGGGGTGGTAGGGTGCCCCGGTAATTTCATGCACCTATTAGACATATTTCGCTCATCATAGATTAACCCGTACATTTGCTTTTAAATATGCATCTCTGCTTCTGCTCTCTGGGCACACTTTCAATGAGTGTTTGCCGTTGCTGCCGCGCTGCCAAGTCTTACGCGTCGTCCGGTAGCTGTGGGGGAGGGACGACTTTGCCAGATGGACGGTACGTTACTCCTACTACTAGTCGATTGACTAACTGTATGGGCCTCTTTGGCTGACTTGATCCTATTAATTTCTGTGTTATACATGTTCATTGCTTGTCTCAGATACTTTATTGGACATAATCCTTAATCCAATCTTGAGTTATTTGCCATCGCTGACACATGACTTGGCGCTGCCCACCTCCCACTTCTCTCATGTGTAGATAGCGAATAGCGGTGGCGGAGTTGTGAGTAAAAGACGAGCAAATGACAAACCATTTCCAAACCTCGGTTTCTTATATCTCCCAGTTCCTGAAAATCATATCCTTTTTTGATGTAAGAGAATGTTAGTGGATTCAAAAATGTTGAATGTCAATCTGGCTACCTTTTTCACATAGTATTATGCAAGTAAAATGATCGAAATAACTGAAAGCCTCTAAGGATCTTATTTTACAAATGTGAATTCCCATGTTAAATCAACACTGAAAACCTATTTAGTATTATCAGAAAATTACAAATACACATTACTACAAGAGACCTGAGTTTCAGAAGATGTCGCATACCGAATAATGATATTTTACCTATATAAATGCATATACGTAGAAAAACAAGATGTGTCAACTTGACTTCATTTGTTTTTGTTTTTTTGTTCAAGGTTGAGACTATTGGGGATGCGTACATGGTAGTCAGCGGAGCACCAGAAAAAGAAGGCAACCACGCTGAACGAGTTTGTGATATGGCTTTAGATATGGTGGAGGCGATCACTGATCTCAAAGATCCATCTACAGGTACACAAAATGTTTTCTAAGTACAGGTAGATTAGACACATTTTTTGTTGATTACTTATCAAAATACGATGTAGTTATGAGAACGCACATTCTCAGTCATATGTTGTGTTAGAAATTCTGAATCAAAAACCCAGCTTCAGTGCGGTTGCAAAAGCTCCAGCAAACCATAACTTAGCTTCGTCAAAATCTAATGGAAACAGACACATAGGAGTAAATTGTAATGCGGAAGTAGAAGAGTATCAATAAAGGAGCTGCACTCACCCTTATAAGAGTAGAACATGATTCATTTCATGTAGCTCCGCACAAATTACTAAATAGATAGATGGATGAGTACCAAAATAATGGAGCAGACTACTGAGAAATAATTAATACAAAAGTTATTTTCCAACAATGATTATTGATAGGCCCAAGCATTAATTTACAGTGGAACAGATTACTTTTGTCTGAGCTACGCAACATCATATCACTAATTTATATAAAAGACTATTTGACTATTTGGAAGTAAGAAATGGTCGGTTGGAACAAATCACATGAAAATGTGGCTAAATTCTTGGAATAAGGGAGTATAATAACTGACAGAAATTGGGTGTGGTTCTATTACTTTTTAGAGAACTGTAAACCTAAACGCTGATAGAAGAGTCGCTCGCGAGTAAGTCTCGGGAGAGGAGTGAGGAAGTTTCGCAATCGCCCATCTGCCTCTCTCTCAAGGTCAGGTTAGCTTTGCGATGAAATGTTTGTCGATATAGTGGATACCAAATAAAATCCGATGCACGTCATAGGTGATGTCATTCATAAAAATCATGGTTACCAACAGTTGACTACATTCAGTGTGACATTTCTACTTGAAGTTTAAATTTCCCCGTCTCGAATCGGTTGGTAGTGCCGTGCAGAGAAATGTGAGGTTGCCACTTCTCATTTGTTGACATCAGTTGCCATTGTCCTTTTGTCGTACTATTAGTTCTTTATTGTTTAGTTTGTGAGTTTGCGCTATTTGAGCTTTGAATCGTTGCCTTGCCAATTAAAAATTGTTCTTTTCAGAACAACAGTTACTGTGAAGTGGTGTAAAGTATCCAAAATGCCAAAACAACTTAACAGAAGGTGTAACGAGCTCATATCATTGAATATCTACCAAAATCAGGTGTTTTTATTCAGAAAGGAATTTAATTTTACAACAAGTTTATTTATTTTTAATATAATGGTATTATAGTAAATGGTAGGTATATATAAACAATTTATTTTATTAAATTTATTTGCTTAAAAGAAAATGTGCAAATTCTGGCAACAGCGCACAGCTCCAGATCGATGACGTGCATCGGGTTTTATTTGGTATCCACTATATGAAGAACCTAACTGCCGTATCGTCACTCGTGCCTACACTTCTAGAACGTCATAAGGCGTCCTTGATGTTCATAGTTTTCTACTGTTCCGTGTCAGCGCAATATTTTGAGGTTATGTCACAAATATCTATTTGCATCAATTGTTCATGCTTTTGATTTGATCTGTTTTATCAGCCTGAAATTTCCTACCAGAAAGAAAACATAACTTGACAATAAGAGATAGGAGAGCGCTGACACTGACACGGAATAGTTGAAATCTAGAAATTCCCCAGCCTTTCTGAAGGAGAGAAAAGACTATGACAATCAAGAAGGCCATAAAAACGTCCTAAAATTCCTATGAAAACGACTGACGATATGGCACTAGGATGGACATTATTTTAGCGTATATCTCTCAAACTTGTTTGGTGAACAGCTGGTCCCCCAAGGCTAAGCGACAACTATTTACGGAAATTTACACTATATTCAAATAGATGTGTTTTTTGTCTTTGAAAATATCTACACCATTATTTAAGTACATGTGTCTAACCATATACGTTATTACAAAATATAACAATGCCATTTCTTTTTAAATGAATTATTGCTGTCTTAGAGCCGTTTTACACACAAGAGAATTACTCCGAAAATTATGGTCATAATTATGCCGAAAATTTTTGCTGTCGTATTACAAGTAAAAGAATTCTTGTGAAAATTTTCATGGTAAAAATATAAAACCCGTTCTATATTATATGCGCGAGAATCGGCGCCGTGCATGTCAATATCAAATGTCAACGACAACAACAACAACATAACCCCACTTAACACTTGTGGGAGTGGTCCTGTTCGAGTCGTACGAGTCGTACGTTTATTGTTATTGTTTATTCATAATGTCGTGGAATCGGGAAGAATTTACAATGTTGTTGGAGGAGTACCAAAAATGGCCAAACCTGTACAAGGTGAAGTCACCCAATTACAAAAACAGAAATTTGCAGCGTCAGGCGCTGGATGCGATAGTCCAAGCATTGAGAAGTTTTATAATATTAACCAAGATCTCGATTTCAAAAATAAATTTAAATTATCGACGTATGTTGTCTTTCCGATTATATTGGACGTCATACCCGTTAAGGTTATGTCCATTTGAAAATATAACTCTAATGCGCAGGCGTATCATATGAATTACTCCGAAATTTTGTTTGCTTGTGTCATACAGGTTGTAGAGAAAATCTTCAATATTTTTTCCATGCAAATTTTCAGCATAATTATGACCATAATTTTCGGAGTAATTCTCTTGTGTGTAAAACGGCTCTTAGTTATAAAACGGATTGCGGTACACAGCAACAATATTTATTGGAAATCGCGTAAGCTTAAAACTTTCAGCACATAAGTTTTGTTTGATAAGGAACTTGCAACCACACCTTGTTAGAGATTTTTGTATATTGTTATGATGACAGTTCAGAAATTTCCGAAAGGTATTAATGTAAGTCTCCTGGTGAAGTGACCCTGGTATTACTCCATATCGTATTATTTAAGTGTACTCAAAATTGAAAACCTCAATTCTCATGCAATCACAAAAAACTGGTCGGACTTGAAAGTTCCTGTAGTGGACCAAAAAGGAACGATTTCAGATCACTAGCGTTGGTGGGCTAGTGGAGCATACTTTTAACACGTAAAAGGGTGTCAACGATAAGGTTGATACACCCAGCATAAGCAAATAAGGGTACGTCGCTAGTCCAGCGTTGTTTCTTCTGGAGTGCAGTGGTGTTTTGTTATTGAAACATATTTGTTTATCAGAGTACTCATATTAGCGCGTCCCGTATTCACTATGTCTAATTTAGTGACGACACTAACAAATTCACAGAATCATCGGGTTAAGAAAACTTCAGTGTTTCTATTTGGGCTGAAACTAAAATTCCTGGCTTGGCGGGTCATATCTCGGATTGGGGTCACTTTTTTCTGGAATGTACCTATGGAGACATGAAGTTTTATAAAATTTCAGGCTCCTAGATCGAACAGCTCCTTGTGGAGAAGCGTTCAAAGTGCAAAGGTTCAGTAAAATGTGGATTTCAGCGTTTTGGTACCGCGAATATCACCTTGTGTTGATACTATGCTAATACATTTGAAACATACTATGACTAGCTCAAGCTCCGATAAAATCAATATAGGAGAGAGTAAACTATTTATTTTCAACTTTTTCACAAACCTTATCTCCTTTAAAATACTGTCCACCGCAGCTAATACACTTGTCCCACCAGTGCTTCCACTGCTCGAAACAAGTGGCGTCCTTTGATGCCCCTTTTCATCAGTGGAAATAACAAAAAGTCGCACGGAGCCAGGTCAGACGAATAAGGTGCGTGAGGCAGCAGAACCATGCCATTTTTAGACAGAAACTGTCGCACAGAGATGGCTGTGTGTGCAGTGGTGGAAGAATCAGTCTCCTGACTGCCACAAATCGGGTCTTTTATGCCGAACACTGTTTCTCAATCGTCTTAAAACGTCCAAACAGCACAAGCTCTAAATATTTTTTCAACATTTTCGTCGATTCGGGCATTTGATGGACGTCCAGAGCGAGGTTTGTCATCAATCGACAGGTCGCCATTTTTAAATCGAACAAACCACTCGTACACCTGAGTTCTCCCATAGCAGCATCTCTGCAAGCTATTTTCAACATTTTAGCAGTATTTTTACGAAGTAGAAAGCAAAATTTCACAGCTGCACGTTGCTCACTGAAGGTTGCCATCGTAAAAAACGAAACAAGCACGAAACAGCTCTAGCAAAAACAATGACTAGAGAGGAACTAAACAGGCCAGATCGACAACTCAGGTAGCAGTGAACTGGTAATGAGTTGCGCTGTACGCATCTAGGGGCAGAAATGTGTACTACACAAGCTCCGCCCACTGCAATGCTATTCACGTTATTTTTGGGTATCTCCTCGTACGTCCTTCAGTATGATGAAAATGATACATTTTGGCCCAAAATATCGGCCCTAAGTCCTATTCCTGAACACCACCCTTTACGAAAAAAGCTGCCTTGCATATTTCTTGCTTCGGAAGACATTCGAATTTTCAGCAGAATAAAACGGTAAGCAACTTCGGAAAGAACAATTTTGACTGAAATACCTCCAGAACCAATTACAAAGTCAGAATTTGGGTAAATTTATTTCAGAATAGTCATACTTTTGAGGCTTAATGATTTTCGGGAACAGGAGTAGTGAGAAAATGGAAAAGTTGCCAAATCGCTGAATTTTCATTTTTTCCGAATGTCCAAACGTTTAGGGAGTTCTCAGCCCCCAACGTTTGAATTAGGTCCCTGAAATTTTACAAAGCTTCATGCCATTTCCAGAAATAAAGGTTAATTCCTGTGATAATCGTGACAAAAATAGGCAGATGTAAAGCCGCGTATACTCGTACACATGCGAGCCGAGCCGTTCGCGAGCCGCTTGCGAACTGCTAGTTCGTATGATTGGGGATTTATAGCACCAGACTGAGCGCTCAGGAACCACTCCTGAGCCGGTCGTTGCGAACCGTGTCCTGTCGGTTTTTTGACGAACACAAAGGAATTCGCAGTTTATATTGGGACGTGTTTGTATGACGTTGTGCTGCTCGCAAGCATTGTTTTCGAATATAGAGTGGTCAGAGGAGAAACATTTTCACACTTATACCTGTATTTATAATTCTGAAAAATCAAGATAAATATAGTGAACCAATATTGCCAAGAAAATCCTGTTTACTCAGCTCAAAAAGTAGAAAACTTCTTGTCTTGTTTTTGCATCAGGTGGCGAAATATGCTAACACACGCAGTTTGACTACTTACCTGTCCTGTGCGGAGATGGGGGTGCGAAAATATGTTTTCTTTTCAGAAATTTGGGGGCCAATTTTCAGCACAGGTTTTCAAAGTCAGTAGGCGACATTCGCGTAAAGTTTTTATATTGGCCGCTCATTTCTTGTGATTTCAAGACCATCATAAATTCCATACCACTGCGTTTCTTATATTGATCGCTATGGCACCAACGCCTTTGTTTCCTCTTTTTCTTGCACAAACTACCAATTACTAAAGCCCGCACCACTCATTACCATGATCGAGTAAATTTCCTCGCGCGAAGACATAATTCTAACTGAAGTACACAGACCGGTATTCGCTGGTGGTTTGAGGTTTTATTCCATGGATCGCTGGATGTTCGTTGGAAAACTAGTTTCAACGAACAGTTTTTGAGCGGTCCACAAGCAGCTCGCGAACGGCTCGGCTTATATAGATCACTATGGCACCAACGCCTTTGTTTCCTCTTTTTCTTGCACAAACTACCAATTACTAAAGCCCGCACCACTCATTACCATGATCGAGTAAATTTCCTCGCGCGAAGACATAATTCTAACTGGAGTACACACACCGGTATTCGCTGGTGGTTTGAGGTTTTATTCCATGGATCGCTGGATGTTCGTTGGAAAACTAGTTTCAACGAACAGTTTTTGAGCAGTCCACAAGCAGCTCGCGAACGGCTCGGCTCGCATATGTATATGCGGCTTAAGACCTGAAAAGAGAAATAATGGACTCGCCAACAGAAGTCTACGTAACTGTGTCCTACGTTATTCTCTGGATAATAGTCCCTCAACAACAAGGAAGCACGGAAATTAATTATAGCAAAAAAATCAAGTACATATAAACACAAAGTAGAACAAAGATTAACTATACCAATAAAATCAAATAAGTGGAAGAAGTGGTAAGAAATCTAGAGTGATATTTTCGGTTTTATTACTATTACCATTTTCTTGTGCTTTTATCAGGTTAATAGCTTGTCCACAATAAAAATAAAAATAAAATAGAATCTACGTAACTTTCTTATACCACGGATGTGCCTCTCTTAATGGTCGGTAACCCATAAACGTTAATAGCCTGCGGACGTGGAAGATACTTTGAGCAACTATAAGACTGGCATATAGTTTCCAAATAAAACGCCTCAGGAGAGAAAAAACTATTCCGATTCGAATAGACCCAATAAAGATTTATATTTCTCCTATAATAACAATGACTAATTCCAGAATCGATGTATAGTTCTGCATAAAACGATAAATTGGTTAATCAGATGAAATATTAATTATTCAAAAAAAAATTGTCTGAAGCTAAACTGTAAATGTTGAAATATACAATGAAATAGAACTATTCTAAATATCCACTCCTCCTACCTCTTTTTGCCATACACCTAAGGTTGGCCCAGGACCCGGCCGTCTGATCATTTCCGCGTACCCCAGTGTTTTTCGATACCCACATTGACGATACCAGATGCCTATTAGGCATTGCCTAGCTACTACGATGTCCAGCGCCACCCTACATTCTAACACAAGGCTGGAAGTGACTTTACATGCGCTTACTGCCTTGATTACAACCAGACTATCGGTGCAACCAGTGATTGTAAAGGACTTACCCTCTAGACGCTACTAGTAATCTTACAAGGGCACCAAAGAAGGACATTTATGTGATAACTCGCAACTTTCAATATAAGATTGAGATTAAGAAATGGATCTATCTGATTTCATTTTAAAGATATCGGAGAACCAAGTCAGTGTGTTATATATTGGCAGCCACCTAAATTGCCAAGTGCTTTATAAGCCGATTTGGATTTTCAATTAAATCTACGTATTGCATATATAAATGTGAATGTCTGTCCAGTCTGTCAGCATCACGTCCGAACCACAATACGGAGAATGGTTATAATTTGTACATCCACTAACTGAAACCCGAAGAAGGTTATAGGCATTGTTTTATCCGCGAAAAAATACAGGGAGTTCAAAAAGTATGGGTAGACCAACATGTTGCGAAAAATACTTCCCCTAACAAGATATGTTGCAGATCAAAGTTTCAAAAGAGTCATCCACTGGTGATCTTAAACGTGTCCTTGACTATGACCTTTAAGGTCATCTGAAGGTTAAGGTAGTTTTAATTTTGACTCCGCAAATGTAGAGAGCTGGAAAATCTACGTTAAAGTATATCTTGCCCATGACCTTGAATATAGGTAGCAATTCAGAAAGTAGGGAAAGCACAAAATATCTCACAAAATGCGTTTCACATACATACATTTGTAATAAATTTGTATGGTGCGATGATTCATCTAATGGTGAGTTCCAACGTGACCTTGACTATGACCTTCAAGCTCATTTGAAGTTCAAGACAGTGTTTTTTCAATGGACATCCCTATTTTTGAGACCGGAAATATATATATATATATATATATATATATATCAAGAAACTTTATGTCCAAGTATGTCATTACATTCACTGTGGCCATCAAAGTCATTTGAAGGTCAAATAAATTTTTAACCTGAAACATCTATTTTCAATTCCCAAAATGCAAATTGCGGACAATTGTAAGTGCAGGTATATTCTTGCCAATGAACCTGGCCATTACCTTCAAGGTCATTTTAAAATAAGACAAATTTTCAAGTTATAATTGCCTTTTTGATAATAAGTTTTACTCTGTATGTTCAACTATTTAATTTTCACAGGTCAGCATCTGCGCATCAGGGTAGGAGTCCATTCAGGAGCCGTTGTGGCAGGGATCGTCGGTCTGAAAATGCCGAGGTATTGCCTTTTCGGCGACAGCGTGAACACAGCGTCCAGAATGGAGTCCACTAGCGAAGCGATGAAAATCCACATATCGCAGTACACCAAGGAACTCCTGCCGTCGATTTACAAAGTGACGGAGAGAGGAGAGATCCAGGTGAAAGGGAAAGGTGAGATTTCGTTACGGAAATGGTCATTGGGGTAAAAATGAAAAGAAAATGACTAATCGTCTGTAAATACGCTGGGCGGCGAAATTAGCAGCCTAACACTTAGCTCCTGACTTTGGTTTTCAAACTACGAATTTGCCGCACAAGTATTTCTTCAAGGTTTCAGGACCATTGGGATATCATCGCAGAGGAAGGTCACGTGCACATTTTTAACTAGTTTATTTTCAGTTTTTTCTGCTATAAAAAAAAGTGAACCAATTGTGCAGTAGGTAGTAAGAAAAGCTCGCATGGCCACTGCCAATACTCGGCAGGTTACTTTAGCAGCACTTTTCATATGAAATATTCTGAAAAGCAGGCGAACTCGATAAAACCCATCAGTAATCCAAAATCTATTCCATTATAATAGTACATTTCATCATGGTGGGTAACGTTACTTGAAAGGCTGGGATGGCAAAGCTTCAGCCCCTCATTCACTAACTTCAGGATATAATCATTTGTTTTACGGCTAAGTGTGATTGTTTAGCCTTCTTTATACTGTTAAATAAATAAAAAAGAAAATACACTTTTATAAAAAAGCTTTTACTTAGATGTTCATAAAATCAACCAAAAATTTAAAAAAATTCAGATTTGAAATACTTAAACGATAACGAAGCGCCTTCATCTCACATTTTCAAATAAAAGCCTCTTACGTTTTAAAAGAAGGATTTAAAACGGGTGTAACACGCATTGCACAACAACAACTAAATTCAGATCTCCATAGTATTGACAGATTTGCAAGGCATCACAATCTTAAACTAAACCCCTCAAAATCGCAAGTAACAGTAATGAAAGAGAACATTTTGAACAAAATTTAGTAATTTCTATTAACAATGACAGAATCCCCATGGTTCAGGAGACAAAAAATCTATGCATTATATTTTATAGCTCGCTTGGTTTCGGAAGTCATATAAAAACAGAACAAATTTAGCTTACATGCGACTAAGGCCCGTATCGTCAGTCGTTCCTACAATTGTAGGGCGCCTTTATCGCCTCCTTGATTGTCATAGTTCTCTACTTCTCCGTGTCAGCGCTCTATTTTGAGGTTATGTCACAAACATCTATTTGCATCAAATTGTGCTTGCTTTTGAGTTATATCATGTTTTATCAGCCTGAAATTTCCTACAATTTAAAAAGAAAACATATCTTCACAATAGGAGAGCGCTGACGCTGACACGGGGCAAGTGTAATCTAGAAATTTTTGAAGGAGAGAAAGGAGTATCACAATCAAGGAGGCCATAAACGCGCCCTACAATTGTAGGGACGACTGACGATACGGGCCTAAGAAATATAAACAAATTAAAAAAACATCAGCCAAACAAAAATATTATTCTTAATTTTATCACTTTTTGACTATGGAGATGTCGTCTATGGTGATTCGCTATCGTCGCGAACCAAAAAATGCCTACAAAAAGTTCAAAATAGTTGCATGAGATTTGTGTTTGGAATTCCATATCGAAACCATATGACTCCCTATCTGAATAACTACAACATGACGAATCGCAGAAAATATCACATGTATTCTTTTATCTATAGGGTTATAAAAACAGGTCAACCGCCCTATTTAAGAGAAATATTTGTGGCTTTGCCTCGTCGCCAGAAGAGCAGAAATAATATAATTATTTATCGTACCTAGGCATAGAACGCGTTCCTTCCGACGAATGTTTGCTTATATGCTTATGCTATTATAATTTACGAACTTCATTTAAAAGCTCATCGTCAAAAACATTCTCAAAACTGACAAAAACGTTGCTACAGAATCACCAGCTACTTTAGCAGCGTTTGTGTGAGCAAAAATATCGTTTTTACATTCGCGTCCGTTGTCAGCTCCCGGGGGTTCTTTCTTCGTTTTTGCCTTTTTGTGTTTCACCGCCTTTTCATTTGCCCCTTTATTGTTTTTTTTTTCTTATTTTGTTTAATGACTTTTAGCGTGTTCAGGGCTTTCTCGCATGGACTCTTTATATTAAAGGGTCCAATATATCGGTTTTATAATCGAGAGACTGTCCTTTTTGGTCCGTGTTCTATATGTAGAATTTCCTTTATTTTTGATGTTTATTCATGACGAAATAAATGTTTTGAATTTGAATTTACATATTTCCAGTCAGAAAAAAAATATTTTCAAATTTGTAGTTCATTTTATGAATAGCTAAATAAAAGCTTGTTTAAAAAATGTATTTTTCATTTTTATTTTTTACTTTTTAGTATTTATGATGTCAATTAACTTTTTTGGTAGTTTCTATATATCTTTCATATATATTATTGATATAACTCAATAAAAACTCTTACTTTATTTGTATTATAATGTTTCGCTAGATATAAATCGATATTTAGCATGGAATTTAGAACGACGTTATTTGCTTATCGTGTTTGTCTCATTAAGCCCTGTTGTGTGACCATGGAAACTATAAATTGCTATCCAGCGGCGGTTACCATATTGGGATTTAGAATGACGCCAATTTGCTCATTGCATCAAGCCTTTTCATTTGATACTCACAGTATAGGGGTGACAATGGAAATTATAAATCGCCATTTGCGGTGGCCACATATTGGATTTGGAATGGTGACTGTGCTTGTTGAGTTTCTCTCATCAGGCCATTTTATTTGATACCCATATGATACAGGTGACTATGAAAAATGTAAATTGCATTCTGTAGGGGCCGCGATATTGGATTTACAATGACATCACTATGCTTATTGTGTTTCTCTCATCAAACCCTTTCATTTTATCCCATGTCGTAGGGGTGACTATGAAATATGTGAATCGCCGTTTTGCGACGGCCGCCATATTAGATTTAGAATGACGCTACTTTGCCTATTGCGTTTCCGTCATCAAGTCCTTTTATTTGATATCCTTATAATAAAAGTTACTATGGAAATGATAAATCACCATTTCTTAGCATCCGTCATATTGGATTCAAAATAACGGCAGTTAATTCATTCTATATTATCACGCAAACCAAAAGTATGCACAAAATTTAGGCTTAATTGGATCCACATATTCAGTTCCAAGATTTGTCCCACACATACATACATAGTAACAAGCAGGTCAACTTAAATAAAAGCTTGTAATAAAAAGTTGCGAGGCGTCGTATCTGCAGCATTTGGTGTTCTTAGCTGTCATTTTTTGTCGTATGAATATCCGAGTAAAATTCCTTTTACAAAAACCCTACTCTACGCTAATAATAATGTACAAGATGTTACCTAAAGATAGGTGGTAATTCGAACAGAGTATTCTTGAACGAAATTCAAGTAAGAAAGTTCACATAACATACAGGTATGTGTCCTAAACTGTCTGGTTTCGAAGATAATATATAATTGATTAAAATACGACTGAGAAAACATAATAGCAAACTGTCACAGAAAGTCAAAAATATGTTTATAATACCAGAACAACATTCCTTGGCAAGGATCAAAGTTGACTTGATCTTGTTTCAGTAATTTTTCAACATTTAATGAAGTTATTTTTTTTTTGTATTCGCAAACAAAATTACATACGAAGAGATATCAAGGGACCAAAAAGTTGTATCATTAGCTGCTTAACCTGGAAAACGTATGTGTTTTTGAAAAAAGCGGTATACATTTTTTGTCAATACCATTCATGACACTGCCCCTCGAGATCTCACTGGAATTCATAGAGGAAAGGAACCAAATTTGAGATGCTTTTTTGTGAAGACAAAATAAAGTACTTTTTGTTTTAAACGAGCATATATTTTTACATAAACTTGCGATTTGATGCTCCTAAAATAAGAAAAGTAATATTTGAGGTATTTCTTTACAGACAAAAAGGTAAATATTTTTATGAATTTACAGCTGGTTCCCTTAATTTGAGATACTATTCGAAAAATCCCTTTCCTTTGCAGAAAGTACAAAAGAAAATTTTATTTGTAATCTGTCCAAAACCTTTATGTGCCCATCTACTACAATTTTGCCCATTGTTCACCCTTCTTATCTTCGGAAAATCGACCGGTACAAAATGAACATACTGCATCGCTTCCACCACTTTCGTCTGAATTTCTAACTTAAGGCCTCCGCTGCATTCTGAACTTTAACTGGAGAGGGAAGGTATCCAAATCCTTTTGAGGCTTTTAAATAACCCATCTCCTTATTTTTTACAGCTTTGGCGGACTTTATCATGTCATTTAGGAAAACTTGGGTATCTCAAATTAGGAATTTTCCATTAAAAAATTTACACAAGCATATTTGGGTTAGGTACCAAATAAAATCACAATATTGTAAAAGAAAATAAATATAATTGTAAGCTACTAAATTTATATCAGACAATTGTTCTAAGTAACTTACCTTAATTTAACTAATAACTTTTTTCGCACTATTAAAAATATTTTCAACTCTGAACAAGTAACAAGTTGTGACGTCTCAGCAAACCGTGTGCAAAACTAAACTGTAAACACATCTAGAATACTACTGCGTCTTAGTTGACAATTTTTTCGTATTACTAGAAGATGACGCTAGAAAGATACAAAGTTACACCACTATCTCAAATTAGGCGCTTGTCTCAAATTTGGTTCCTTTCCTCTAATTATCTTTTAGTTAGTGTTATTGCAGTGAACAATACTACTCAAATTCAACGTAATCTTTCAGGAATCAATTAAGGAACACATTATTTTGGCAACATAGACACACTATATCTTGAAAATCAGACTTTTTACAAATGACCATGAAGTTTAACTGTTGGTTCACAAGGGCGTTGAATTGCGCTACAGAAAAGAAGCATGCGACCATTAGATTGATGTAGATAGAATATGGAACAGTTTACGCAATCGACGCACGTTTTGCTGCGCGATAATTTAGGTCAGGGCTGTCCAACATACGGCCCGCGGGCCGCATGCGGCCCGCGAACTCCTTTCTTGCGGCCCGCTTCACGGGTCATGTATACATCACATGTATAAATTACTCTCAAATACCGAATATGCACAATTCTTACATTAACTCTGTAATAATGTTGTATA